GAGTGTAGATGTGTATAGATCTGGTATCTGCAGGGAGCCCACTTCCTGGTTTGCAGATGGCCATCTTCTCATTGCATCCTCACATGGCAGAGAGCAAAGAGAGAAAACAAGCTCTTCCATGTCTCTTCTAAGGGTACTAATCTCATCGGGGGGCTCCACCCTCATGACCTAATTACCTTCCAGAGGCCACACCTCCAAATACTATGCCACTGGGGACTAGGATTTAACATGAATTTTGGAGGAGCACAAGCATTCCATCCATAGCAAGGTCACACTGTGAAAATCCTTGCATAGCATATTAAGATAAAGAATATTTTAGATGTCCCACATTCTGGAACTGATTCTGAGATTCAAACGATTATGAGGATGTATATCGCCTAAGTGTGACCTGCCAAGTGTGCTTGGTTTTTTGTAAAAGGAAGCCAAGAGTTCTTGGTGAAAAATGCATACTGCCTTTGCAGAGCCGCTGAGGTAGAAGAATTCTTGAGTTTTCAGGCTTTGCAGGAGGGCCCCCAGTGTTGCGAGGTTCATTTCAACACTCTTGCTTTCAGAGCTCTGCGCCTTCGCCCGCTCGCCCCAGCAGGTGGATCGTTTCTAACCGTGTGTCAGCATTTACTTCAGTTGACTTAAAGACAGGAATCTTTTTTCTGAGCTGCCCCCATCATGCTTCAACATCTTCAAGCAGATGGTCAGGCTAAAAGTGTGAGGACAGCTAAGATCGCCCAGAGAGAAGGTTGGAGGAGATGGATGTGGCTAAATGCGGAATTTCAGAGGCTGTATGCGTCAAGGGAGAGATCATGGGTTCTGCGCATTGACAGAACTGGATGTATAAGTTAGTTAAACCATTTACTAGCTGTGACTTTTAGGAAAGTTACTTGGACCTTCTGAGCTTTCTTCTCCCTATCTGTAAAAAGACGTACCACCACCCTGACAAGAGATGCCATGCTGATTAAATGAAAGACATGCGTACCATTTCTGACACATAGCAGACATCCCATAAATGCATTTCCCTGTCCTCTTGCCTTCATCATAAAAAAAGAGTTTATGATCCAACGTCCTTCAGACTTCCTCTGTGAGTCTGGAGCAGCCAGCACTAACTCAGAGCTAGGGATATGTGCCAGAACATGCAGAATGTCCTCACCGTGCCAATAAAACGCCATCGTATATTAAGAGAATTCCTTCTGAGTTTAAGCATTTCTAAATACCTTTCCTGAATTGAGAAAGCAAACTGAAGCAAGTGTCAAAAGTCTACTCTGCTCTGTTAGTGAAGGCTTCTTTCCCATCTTCTCCAGATTTTCATGATCTCTAACTGGACTTGTGTATCCAGCTGGCAGCTGCACCAGCCAGACCCTGAGGTAACCATAGTTTAGGCCCATTTTTTTTTTCACCCGGAGCCTACAAATTCTATTTCAAGCACACACACGTACAGAATGCAGATGTGGGGCTGACAACCAGGCCCTTTGGCCGAGTGAGGCTGGGATAGTTGACTGTAGTGAGGCCATAAGTGGCCCATCTGTAGGGGCCTCACCCAGGCATGTTTGGGACCCAGACCTCAAGAGTGGCTTTGGCCTTTTGATGTGCATTAACAATCACATGGGACAGTCACCACATCTCCTCCTTGGGGAGAAAACATTACACCATCTGTGATCAGACAAGCTTGGAAGTTTTTTTCTGTGCTCTGAAAAATGTGTGACAGCATGGACATCCTGTAAGACTAGCTCCCTGAAGAAGCTGAGGGTCAATACTGTGATGGGTGGAGAGGGGAAATTGAGCTGCTTATGCTCGATGCAAAAGGACCACTCCAGTCAAGGAAGCAGCCACTTCAGAATGTATTTCTAGTGTGTATACAAACCAGGAATGAGATTACTAGGCTGTTTATATCATGTAGCAAAAGCTCTTATAGCTTGGGTAGATCCCAACTGAACATTCCTTTTGGATATTGAAATGACGTCATTCATTCATTCATTCAACAAACACTTCTTAAGAACCTACTACATAACAGTATCACGGGTACTAATGATACCGTGGTGAAGAACAGCAAAAAAAGTTAAAAAAGGAATCCCTGACCTCATGAAGCTTACATTCTAAAGGGAGAGGCTGACAATAAACAATAGCAATAATTAAAATATGAATTGTAGTGTATAGTGAAAAGTGCTCAGGAACAGAAATGAAGCAAGGATGGGGTGTGAAATATTAGGGAGAAAGGGTGCTGAAATTTTGGATGAGGTGGTGCAGGAAGGCCTCACTGAGAAGTGGACTTTAATAAAGGCCTGATTGATTATTTGGATGGATGTGGACCTACAATCAAAAGTATTTCCTCCCAGATTTTCGAGGCTGTTTCTCCCTTGCCTTTAGTTTCTGGGTTGCTGTTGAGAAAACTAATGCCTTTCTGACTGCTGATCCTTCCTTTGTGACTTTTCTCCCCATCCTCAGGAACTTGTAGGAACCTCTGTTTTCCCTCTGCCATCTGGAATGTCTCAGTGACAAACCTGGGTGTGGTGAGCATTTCATGAACATTTTCAATTTCCAAGCTTATATCCTTCAGTTTTGGGGGAAAAAATTCTTATAATACTTTTTGTAAAACTTGTCTGTTTTTCCTGATCTCTTTTTTTTGGTTTTTTCTCTTCAAAGCCCCGGCACATAGTTGAATATCCAAGGTGTAAATCCTTCTAGTTCTTCTACGTGGGACACCATCACAGCATGGCTTGATGAGTGGTGTAGGTCTGTGCCCAGGATCCAAACTGGCAAACCCCAGGCCGCCAAAGCAGAGTGCACAGACTTAACCACTACGCCACTGGGCCGGCCCCTTTCCTGATCTCTTTTACCCAAATCCCCATTATAAGGAATTGAGATGCTCTGAAATAATTCTCTATTTTTCTTACAGGATTTCACCCTTTTCTCATCCATTAGTCTTTTTACTCCACTTTCTGAGATTTCATCCACTTTTTCTTCTTCACTGAATTTTTCATTTCTGCTCTCGTGGTTCCCAGAGCTCGCTCGTGCTTTCCAAATGTTCTCCTTCTGTTGGACTGTCTCATCTCTTCTGAGTTTCTGTTTTCTGTTTACTTTCATCTTTTCTTTCACGTTAGAGGCTTTTATGAAATGTCTGTTAGTCCCAGGAGTCTGTTAATGTATGTGCGAGGCACACTTGTAGAACAATCTGGAAGCTTTTCTCTATGATCCAGGCTGCTTCACAATGGATGACCAGACAGAACCTGAACATCACCCTCAAAAATCTGCTGGTTTCTTCTGGTTAGCTAGTCAAGAGGGTTCCTCCGGTTTCCCGACTGAGGCATCAGCCCTTTGCCACATTCTGTCAGAGGACACCTCACCCGCCCTCCCCTGTGCTGTTGAGCTAGAATCCAGTCTGTTTGGTTTGACCTCTTCAATCTTCTGTGGATACTGAGAGTCGCTTGGCTGAGTGGGATAGAAAGGGAAATGTAGGCAGGTTGCTACACCATTGGAAAGAAAACAGAAAGTTCAATCCAGCCCTGTATTGTCCACTCACTCTGCATTCCTACCTTCAGAAGGATCAGGTGCCTCATGATCCCCAGCTTCCCAGGCCTGCATGTTTTATGTGGAGTTCTCCCCTTGAAGACTTAGGTGTCAGCTTTCTCCCGGCTGCTATTGTTTCCCCTCTCATTCCCTCAACTCTTTGATTTATGCCTTTTTATTCCTCGTTGTCATTTTAATGGAATTTCAGGAGGAGGTAGAGATAAATTTGTTACTGCCATATTTAACCGAAAGTCCTATTCTATTTTCTTTCGCGTCTCCCTTGCCAAAGCCTACTCTGGTGATGGTAAATGCCTCCTCAGCAGGTTCCCACAGGAAGTAGGATTCGTATTAAATGTCAGCATCTTCGATAGTTGTTTCAGTTATTTATTTCTGAATAATAAGTAACCCTAAACATAGTGACTTAAAACAACAACAGTTATTTATTTGCTCATGATTCTGCAACTTGGGCAGGGCTTGGAGAGGGCGTCTCATTTCTGTTTCATGTGACGTGGGGCAGCTAACCTGGGCTGGGGCTTCCCCTCCCAAGATGGCGCACCCACATGACTGGCCAGTGGTCCTGGCTGTAGAATGGGTACTTAGTGGGGGCTGTCCGTCAGGGCTTCCATTCTTCTCCATGTGGCCTCCCTATGTGGCTCAGTTGGACTGCACAGAAGCTTGGCTCCATGAGGGAGCATCCAAGACTACACTCACCAAGAGGACAAGCTCTAGTATGTAAGCAATTATCAAGCCTCCATTTTGCATCACACTTGCTAATGTCCCAATGGCCAGAGCAAGTCACATGGCCAAGCCCGGATGCGATGTGGGAAGATACTACACTCCACAGGGACATGGATACTGAGAGACACAGTTCAGTGGGAGCCACATACCCCCTGGAACTCTAAAATGCTCTGATCCTGTGCTTGTGTTTTTCTTTGTATAACTGACTTGTTCCATTTTCTACCTTGAAATGTTAGGATGCCAGACTCTTTTCTTGTAAATAGTTTCATATGGTATAAATATTCGATAAATACGTATTATAGCCATAGAAATATTGTAGCATTTCCACTTAAAATGTTTCTGAATGGACTGTAAAGACTTAAACTACGTGTCTTAACCATTGTTGTAATGAATGTGTTTCTAGTTAGTGAAAGACATGGAAAAAATCACCCTATGAGGGGATCACATTCCTAAATACACCTTTCAAGGGAATTAAGTATTGCCTTTTGCTTTAGGCTACCCGAGGTTAGCGTCTTGTCTTTTTGGTTTTAAAACAGTTGAAAATTAGCCTCTTTAACACCTGCCTGGACTGTAAGAGAAAAAGTGGGTATTTATGTGATAACTAGAGAGTGCATTCCTTGGAAATTCCAAGCAATCATCTCTCGTTACATGCTTTCCGAGCTTGTCCTGAACATTCCTGCCTGTGGTAGGACGTAGGTGGCTTAGCTTGTGCTGCCTGTTTCGTGAGTCTTGATCTTGACTGATCGCTGTGCTCATTTTTCATGCAGGGGTTCTCTATCTCCAGTATGGAGATGAAACCAAGCAGCTCAGGATGCCGAATGAAATCACAAGTGCAGACACAATCCGTGCTCTCTTTGTAAGTGCCTTTCCACAGCAGCTCACCATGAAAATGCTGGAGTCGCCCAGTGTTGCCATTTACATCAAAGATGAAAGCAGGAATGTCTATTATGAATTAAATGATGTAAGGTGAGTATTCACATCGTTTGCGTGTGTGCGTCCACCACATTGCATTTACCATCGCCACCGTTTGTACCCAGTCCTAATCTCTCCGTGTCCCATGAAGAAAGCATAGCTATTATCCTGATTGGCGGGCTTACCTTACACAAGTGTGAATTCACTATCTTGTTTTCTATGATTCACTTACAAGGTGTGGTTTCCAAAGGTGAGGACAGACTTTTCCCACACAGGTCTTTGCATGTTACATATGAAAAGAATGTAAGAAATGATCCAGTCCACTGTTTATCTAAGAGTTAGGGAAACTAAGGCCAGAAAGGTGATGGAGAGACTTGATCAAGATCCTAAGAGTTGAAAGCCATACTTACGATGAACTTTCCCAATTCTTTCTCCAGTGCTCTTTTCCCTCATAGACAAGATGTTTTAGGTAATGATACCATGGAGCCATTATTTACACTAACAAGTTAGAATAAAACAGTGGACTCTATGCTATTGTCCACGAGAAGAGAGGCTGAGAAACATTCTTCCTTTCCATTCATTTCTTAAATAGTTGGCCATTCCTAAAGGATCTCATCTTCCAGGTGGGCTTTCTCCAGGGCCCCTAGTAGAATGTATTCTAAAATGAGACTGAATGGACTCATGCTATTGCAGGTGGCGTGGATAAAAGCATCTTTTTCGACTGTCGTGGTGTTGTGTATAGAGCAAAAGGGACGCAGCTGATCTCTCCCAGCCAAAAACCCTGAGAAAAAAGACTGAAATCAACACAAACAAGCAGTCACTAGTATAGCCTCTAAACATTTTAGAACTTAAAAAATCATTTAGTGAATAATCCAGCCCTCTCCTTTTATGGGGCCAGAAACTCAGATGCGTCAAAGTTCAGGGACTTATTTAAGATCACACAGCCAGTTCATTTCCAAGCCCAGCCCCAAACCTGACTGTCCACATTCTTGGTCAAGAATTTTTCATTCCCTCAGAATGTTCCTTCCCCAACTCGTCTGGGCCACAGGCTGGATTTCTGGATCCCTTCCCCGTGGAGACAGCAGGCTGCCCTGTTTCTTCATGATGGAATTAATGGGAACCACTTTTTAAAAGTATGCCTCTAGTGCATAATAAATGTAAACTGATAAATATCTGACAATGATCACAAATGACATATTTAGGCGTGTGCCAAGGTGTGTGAGTAATTTAGGGCTTTCAAAGTTTGACACATGCCCTCAGGTGTGGGTGCCACCTCTGTTGCACAATACCCCCTGCTTTTTAAAAACATGTTAAATATTCATGTGTAGCAGAAAATTCATGTTTGTTTCCTGAAATAAATTATTAATCAAGCTGTCACCAAAAAAATTCTGAATTTGCAAAGCATAAACTGAAACATGAAGTAACCACATTATATATAAAGAATGTGTTTGCAGTAACAAAATCCCATGGAGAGTTTTCACGTGGACGTGCCATTTCACTGTGTTTGTAGTTAGAGCAATCGAGGGAATGGGTAATAATAAATACACATGGAACTACGTGGAGCTACTTTTGATTATGGAGCTCAAAGCTGATGAGGTTATTATGAACCATTGGACCCCACTGTCTTGCAGAATTTTTAAAGTATGACAGTGAGTCACGATATTCTAGAAGCTTCCCAAGCCTCAGAGTATTACTCCTAGGACTTCCTGCACACATTCTTCGAGAGTGTCATGAAGTAGTCATAGAGAGAAGTGGGAGGGAGGAGAAAGAAGAAGAGGTCCCCAAAACTTCCAAACCGAAATGGTCCTCCTTAATGCAAACTCAGTTGATAAAATAGATGCAAGCAGTGCTTGAGAGAAGCAATCAAACATTAATAATCTTCAGTTAATATGTCTATATTTGCAAAATTGATCCTTACACTGCAGCACGAATAGCCTGATTTCTTTTAAATCTCATTTAAAATGTCTAAGAGGAAAGTCATTGATTTATAAATTTGTCTATAATTTTATTTTTCAGTGTTTTGAGTTACATATAAGAATGCATCTAAAAGTATTTAAGTGGATCAAATGTTTTTATTTGGTGATGACTATAATGTTTATGCTAGATGATCAGGTGCATGTCCTTTCCAGAGAATTATTCTATTCCTCTGCTTTTATGCATAAAATGCCTGTTATATTTTCTTTGAATTGTAGAGTAAATCCTCATCATCAGCATCATATAGAATGTCCCCTCCCTGCTAAAAACCTGTATCATGTAGATTTTAACTGAAGCCAATGGCTTTAATCCTCTAAACCCAAAGATAAATTTCCTTTCACATCCTTCAGTATTTTTGAAGTGACAGTATATTTGTTAAACATTTGGCTATTTCATTATGGTGTTGGGGTTTCCGTAGGAAAAGCTACAGAGCGTTCAGGTTGAAATTCTGTGTTGTAAATGTTGCCATGGTAAATGCAATCTGGGCCTTTCCTGTTGGTTCATCATGGATGAACATGTTTCTAAATTAATCATAAACCAACCTCATATATTTTAAATACCTCTAGAATCACGCTAAGTTTTTTTCGTGGCTCAAGTAAGATTTTCACTTTCTTCATATCATCACTTGTGTCTTTTCCCCTCAGCCACAGGGTAAGTTCCTTTAGTCAATCTCCACATCCTCACCTTCTGTGACCTCTCCCCTCCATGGTAATCTGGCCCCGTCTAGTAACAAGGACTGCATGCTCCCCCTTAAGCAGACTTCTAATGAGCTCATTGAAATCTGGAGCAACCGTGCAAGCTTGGGCTAGTCGTGGCTTCAAAGCAATTACTGACGGATATTTAAAGAAGGAAGCAAGACTAGTCCAAGAATCCTCCACTTTGTTTAAAACAAAAACATAACCCAATAATCCCACCGATTGCGATCAGCCCACAAAACGTGTGGCTGCACCTGGAGGAAAGGAATGCATCTTCTTGCACACACTTCCCTGAGCTCATCGCGCCCGCATTGGAAGGAGTTACAGTGTAGATGGGGCCGAAAGTGCCTTCGGTGGCCCTTGTGTTGATGAAAGCTGAATACGGAGGGAGAAGGACTTCATGGACATTCATATGTCTTAAATAAGTTAAGGTAGGCTCTGAGCAAGATGTGGGACCTTTGCCCTTTGCCTGAGGTATGACCAGGGCTCTGAATGGTGGGTTCAGAAGCAGAGACAGACAAGTGAGAGAATTTATCTGCTGCTACTCCTTCTAAATACCCTGCACGTCCAGTAATTCAACTTGTCTGTAGAAAAGTATTTTTAAAAACTCACTATGGAAGAAAACAGCCATTGTAAAGGTACTAGTTTTGGTCTTTGGGAGACTTTTTTTTCTGGACAGCAGTTACATTTTTTTTTCCCTTCCTGAAATCGTTTGAAGGAAAAAAAGCATTTTTCATTTGTGTGCATTACATGAGATAAGCAGAAAAGCAGGTGTTTGGGCAAAGTAAACAGTTAAATATTTAAATATTAACCAAATCTCTTTGAATGTATTGTAAATATTGGAGCTTTATTGTTTCTTAAAGTGTTAGCTTTCCTCGCTCAGAATCTTGAAAGAAAGTTCACGCTGCCTGATATTTATGGGTGGAGAACGACATGGAAAGAAAAATACTTTCCTGAAGAACAAAAAAAAGGAAAGAAAAGCTGAAGTCATTTTTCTTCTTTTCCTCATTTATTGTTGCCTATTTTATGATAAAAGAACATTTTGTCTGGTTGATTGCAGACAATCACCGGATTGTCTGTTGATGTCTTTTACCCGATTCTTGAGGGCTGGCAAAGGAAATGCCCAGAGTAAGGCTCCTTTCATCTGCCATAGTGATTGATGCTTTTGATTCCAGGAACATTCAGGATAGATCGCTCCTCAAAGTGTACAACAAGGATCCCGCACATGCATTCAATCACGCACCGAAAACTATGAATGGAGACATGAGGGTAAGTGCTCCTGTTCTATTTTTTATTTTATTCGGTGGGTCCAACCATCCCTTCTTCTGGCATGTGCTCCTGATGTAATCTCCCCCCACTACTAGGTTTTAGGGGTTCTCGTCACTCATCTCGTCTAATGACTCATTATTTGTTCCTTGGTAGAGAAATCAGATTTCCTGGTCTTTGGGGGCAAAGGGATTGAAATAGGGCCTGACATAGCCCCATCCATCTCTAAGCATGGAGTTTAGTTATGTCCTCACTCCAGGGAGATCCTGAAAATCTTTACATAAAAGGGTCCTTGGTCTATAATACATTAACTCACTCAAAGGATCTCTTGCTATTTTTTCTCTAGTTAAAGGAAAATAATATACAAAAAAAAATGGGGAAAGAAAAACTTGTGCACAATTGCCTGTAAAATCTATTCATGTTCTTACATCAGTTATTCCAAGTCCTAGCATTCTAATTAAATTATTCATCTTCTAATTCACGACTGTTTGCTGCTTTACTGTTTTAAATATGATCAAATCTTATCTCAATCGTGTTGAGGGCATAGTACAAAAATATACACTATTTGTGAGCTAAAATTCTCTAGATTTAGATCATCTCAGAAAATTACCCAAACATTCAAAGCATACAGGGATGTTTTGAAGAAAAAAGAACAGAGAAACTGAAAAGGCAGATTTTAAAATCACATGAACACAGGTCCACTCGGAAGGGATTGAGTTTCTAACAATAGAGCTGCATTTCTCTGCAGTAAAAATGGAAGGGAAAAAAAAAAAGATTAGCTTCTCCAGCTGTACCTAACCTCCCCCCCGCCACCCCGCCTGCCACACACACAAATTTAGAAGGTGCCATGCCATTTTATATCATCTTTTCTGAGGATCAGCACTCAGCTGGATGCTGGAGTTTAACCAGAAAAAAATAAATTAATAGGTTTTATGGCCAAAGAAACCCAGGAAATGTCTATTCCAGAGTTGTAGTAGAGTTCTTCAAGGGAAGCTGTTTCTGATTTCTGATGGTTTGTATCAGTTTTCTATTGCTGTTGTAACAAGTTATTACACATTTTGTGGCTTAAAATGACACAGATTTACTATCCTTCAGTTCTAGAGGTCAGAAGTTCGACCCGGGTCTCAGTGGACTAACATCAAGGGAGCATCAGCATTCTTTCTGGAAGCTCTAGACAGAATCTGTTTCCCTTTTTTCCAGCCTCTAGAGGCTGCCCACATTCCTTGGCTTGCAGTCCCCTGCCTCCATCTTCAAACCCAGCAAAATAGCATCTCTCTGACCCTGCCTCCATCCTCACACCTCTAACCCTCCCTCTTACACTGTTAAGGGCACTTGTGGTTACATTGGGCCCACGCCATACTCCAGAATAATCTCCCTATTTAAAGTCAGCTGATTAGCAACCTTAATCCCCCTTTCCCCTGTAGTTAGAAATTTCAAGGATTAGGATGTGGGCGTCATTGTTCTGCCTACCACACAGGGTATGTGAGTTTAGGACCAAGGGGCCAGGAGGTCCAATAGAAAGTGCTGGAAGAATTTCTCTGTAATTCTGGACTGGAATATGAGTGATGACATTGTGGGATCAGAGCCTACACTTGTGGAGGAAAAGGGCTCTTACGGACTCAACTGCTGCTTTTTTATGTGAGAAACGATGTGTGATTTGAAGTGAAGCCTGTGTTGCTACTTCAGAAAAACCTAGGATTTGGCGGTTTATTTTTAGACAGTTACGCTTTCAGTGCAAACCAGCACCAGGTGTAGACAGATTGAGTCATGCGAATCACGAAGCAGGGACTGAATATTACGGTATCCTTTGCCTTTTATTGCTGCGTTATTCTCCTTCTCGGTGACATTCTTAAGAGTCTTGCTCCCTTGGGTATCTTTACTTTTCGATATGTCTAGCCTTCAAACTGGAGTTTTGTGGTGCTCAGAGTTCTGTTTCTGTTACACGGAGCCTACTCAGGGGCCCCAGCATCGCCTCTGAAAATTCTATTTATGCCTGGGGAGGACACCTGTTTTAACTCTTAAGCAGATGTGGTCCCTACATAAGGACCAGCAGCGAGCATGGAGAGAAGCAAATATTATCCATCTGGATGAAGCCTCTTAGGATTCAGAACTTTTGCTATGGGTTTCGGTAAAGTTGTTCTGTTTCTACTTTTAGACAAGACCCTGGTGGTCACTTTCCGAGTTACCCACAGCCTACTTAAGACAGCAAGTTTTTATCTGAGAAAATCAACTGTTGTCCCAGATGAGCAGACAACAAATGTTCACCATCCAACCCACAGGAAAGCTTTAGTTTCAGTGAAGACACTTAGAAATGAGAAAGAGAATGCAGTGTAAAAGCCAACCAGGTGTAATCACGCCTGGAGTTAGTAACTTGGCCGCTATTCGCAGATTCCAGAAGCTAAGAGACATGGAATTCCTTCAGCCTCACCTTTTGGCTCTGGAGGTTGGAATTCTCTCTCCTTCGATGAAGGTGGCTGCCTTGCCATTAAAGGGAAGGAAGCTTTGTTGAGCCCTGTCTGAGTGCAGCTGCATAGCTCCATCACTCGCGGTGAGGAACAGAAATAGAGACCAGAGCCAGGACCAATTGGTGTAGACTAAACCAAGCTGCACGGTGGGCTTAGGGGAGCTCCATCCTCCCGTAGGTTTGCCATGTGCGCATGGCCCAGAAGGAATTTATGATAACTACTCACATGAGTCCGTCATGCAGCCCTGCGCCTGATGTCATTCAGCTTTACTCACCAGCCTCCATAGGCAGCCTGGGACAGACCTCCCAGCTGCCCGCTCATTACCGATAAACACGCCTGTCATGAAAAACATTGGTTGGACCAAGCAGAGGCGAAACAACACACCACCAGGACTTTGTGGTGGCCTCTGAGACTTTCCTTAAACAAGGAATTTAATATCTTGCCCGCAAGAAATGAAAATGTAAGCCTCTAGATCTACAACAGTCAGCCCTCCAGAGCAGTTTCATGATGGTGGTGGTGTTACACAGGAACCATGATAAACTAAAGTGTTGACTCCAAGGCTGTGGGCCTTGGAGCATGCATGCACTACATGCTTGGTGAGGAAAACGTGGGTCCACTTTTCATTTAGCATCTAGCTGAGTGCTTTTAAGGCTAGGCTGTCTAATGAGACTTGTGGTTCTCTGCTGGGAATGAACACATTCAGCTCCTGATTCTTTACACGTGGGTGCAAATCACCCCCATCTGATTTAATTGTCTGGCTTCTGTTTCATTATATTAGATAGCAGCTTTGATAATTCAGTTTCTAAGGGACTGAGCTCACCTTATGGAACAGACCCTTTTGCAAAAATTATGAATGTACTCACAGGGTTTGTAATTCACAAATGCACAACTCAAACATGAGCCATTCCCTTCTGTGGCTCTCAAAAGGTACCAATGACTTCCTGTTCATCAAACCAGTGGCTTTTTCAGTTTCTGGGCTTCTCCACCTTCTTACGTACTTTAAGATTATTGCCTGAGATTCTCTGCTCCCATCATTCAGTTCTCTCCCTCTTGTATGTCTTCAATTTTTACTTATATGTAGACAGCTTCCAGATTTGCATTTAGAACACATTCTCCAGGATTGGCCCTGCGTCTTAAATTACTTCCTAATACCCAAATCAGTCACTGCCTCCAAGACCTCTTCTCTCTGAGCTCTGCATCTGACACCAAGGAGTGGTCTTACAAACCCTAATTTCCATACACTATCATTTCTAAATTCCTTGCCTACGTTGAAACACACCTCAGCCCCCTCCATTCACTAACTCTTCTTCCTCTTGACCCCTAAATGGGCTTCAGTGTATTCAGGCAGGCTTCACCAGTTTGTATGCAGGGATTTTTTACTTTGCTCTTTTTTTTTTTTTGTCTGTACCTTTTCACTTACTATTTTTATCTTACTACTGAGTTAACTATTATGTCAAAGTCGATGATCCTTGAAACTATATCCCTAGCTCTACCATTTGTCTGGAGTTCAAGACCTAATCGTTCAACTTCCAAGTGGTTGTCTTCACATGGATAATCTTCTAGTGTTCCCAGTATATCCTTTTGAAGAAAAACATCCTAATCTTTTTCCCCCCAGCCTTTCCTCCTTGCTTCTCTATCTTTGTGAATGATAGAGTGACTGTGATGGTGTGTGTATGTGTGTGCACACATGTGTGTGTGTTTTGAAGGGTGGGGAAGAAGAGATTTAAAAAGTTGAATTATCAATGATTCTTCAATTGCTTAACTCCTGTTTCTCAACATATCCCACCAGTCATCGGAGCTGGTCCATTCCACTCTGCAAGGCCTCTTCCAGGAGACCCTCCTGCCATTGCTTGTACCAGTCCTCTTACAGTAGCTAACTTTTTAGGGCACTGACCAAGCACTTTCACTGGTAATTTTATTTAATCCTCAAGACAGCATTTTGAGGCAGGCATTGGTAGTGGTTTAGGTATGTTAAGAAATTTGCCCAAGGCCACACAGCTTGAGGGTGGAAGAGCTGAGATTTGAACCCAGCAGCTGGGATCCAGATCCCAAGCTCTTAGCAATGCTGCTCTGCTGTTGTAGTTACAGCACTTATTATTTTTCTACTGGTCAGTTATGCAACCGTTTAACTAGCCTCCCCAGCTCTAGTCTAACAGCTACTTCCTAAGACATGTCCCTAAGCCCAACTCCCCATTGTGCAAAGAATAGCACAGGCCAATAGTCAGTATCACCTCAACCCTGACATCCCAAGCACAGCCACCTCCCAGTTCCTACTCCAAGTATCTGAAATGCCCCCTCCCTCCCCATATAGCTGCCTTTCAAAATTCCGCCCATCTAACATACTACAGGACAACTGCCCGATTCCTTCAACAGACTGCAGGCATGAAAAAGGGGTGGGAAGAGAGAGTGTTACTGTGTTTCTCAGGTCCCCTGTATACCGTAACAACCAAAGCCCATGTGTGCGCCTTCTTTGGATCCTGATTGGAACTAACCAACTGTAAAAGACATCTCTGAAACTATTTAGGAAATTTGAACATG